AGGAAAGAATAAAGGATGTCGAATGCGGCCAATTCGCGTCATGCGCGGGCGGCCCCCCTGAGCCGCACGTGTTCGCATCCTGTGAGCTCTCTGAGTCTCGTCTGCTCTCGCATTCACTGTCACAGGGCTGTAAGCCCGCTTCCTCTTCCGTCGTCTCCCTAGACGCGCCCCATATCGCTCGTCTTCTTGCCCCCCTACCTTCCCCGCAAGCATGGCAGCCTACTTCTTCTCCTCCCCCATCGACATCGACATCAAGCTCTCCGATGAGGAGGCGCGCAAACATGTGGACATGAAGTCCGACAAGGACAAGGACAAGGTCGTCTCATGTCCCGTATACTACGACGGTGAGGGCGTTGGGGGAACCGTCAGCATACGCGTGCGCGACGGCAAGAAGATCACGCACGACGGGATCAAGGTCGAGTTCGTCGGGACCATAGGTGCGTCGCGCGCGTATATGGGACTAGTCGCACTCACTAACATTGCGCCAGAGCTGTTCTATGACCGCGGGCATCATCACGAATTCTTGTCTCTCTCGCAGGAGTTAGCTGCGCCAGGAGAGATGCGGCAAGCGCAGACCTTTGACTTCAACTTCAAGAACGTCGAAAAGCAGTTTGAGAGCTACATCGGCATCAATGTGAAGCTGAGGTGCGTGTCGCGCTGCTTCATGCATACATAGATGACTGACTGTGCGCAGGTACTTCATCCGCTTGACACTGACGCGACGCATTGGATTACCATCTTCCACTCTCGTGAAGGTCCGTCGCGGCGCTGATATACATAACGCGAATCGCTGAACCGCGGTCAGGAGCGAGATCTTTGGGTACACTCCTTCCGAATGCCACCGGACTCCAACAACAGCATCAAGATGGAAGTCGGCATCGAGGACTGCTTGCACATCGAGTTCGAATACAACAAGAGCAAGTGAGCGCGCCCCTGCATACCTTGACTCCTCTACGGTTCTGACAGCCCGCGAAGGTATCATCTGAAGGACGTCATCGTGGGCAAGATCTACTTCCTCCTCGTCCGTATCAAAATCAAGCATATGGAGTTGAGCATCATTAGGCGAGAGGTAGGTAGACTCTTATTCTTTCGCGCTCACAACTAACACGTCGGGTTAGACCACCGGCTCACCGCCGAACCAATACAACGAGTCCGAAACGATAACGAAATTCGAGATTATGGACGGCGCGCCCGTACGCGGCGAAACCATTCCCATACGCCTCTTCCTTGGCGGCTTTGACTTGACCCCGACCTTCCGCGACGTGAACAAGAAGTTCTCGACCCGCTATTACCTCAACCTCGTTCTCATTGACGAGGAGAACCGGAGATACTTCAAGCAGCAGGAGATCACCATATTCAGGATACCAGAGGTGCGCGACGTTCAGCGTTGTGTTTGCCATGTGACTAATACCGGCGTAGAACTGAGCTGACTGTACACTTTGGTGCTTCACCGCGCTGTACACGCTGGTACTACACACTGTGCTTTCTTTTGTATTATTTGCTACGTGGATGTATCAAGATTCGGCAATGGGTCTTTGCCATTCAAAGCCTCGCCGTTGATTGATGTGGTCTCTCACTCGTCTCTACAAGCCGGACCTTCCTCTCGTTCTGGACGTATACTTATGCCCCATGCGACGGCGCGGAGGGACCGGCCATACATTTGCCCGGCGGCGAGCTTGAACTCCGGCAGCAGAAGCTGCTATAGGGTCAATAAGTCATGATTTGTCACCACGACTTCTTCAGGTTGCACTGCATCCGAGTTTGCCAGTGACGTTGTTGGCAAGCCGCAAGACTGAGAAGCGCTAGGCTCGTGAACCAGCTCGGCTGCGGCACCCCGTGACCTCACGCTGATCCCGTGACTTTTCTCTCGCGAACCGACCATGTGATCAGCGAGCTTGCAAAGCGGACTGGCCACGCGAGTCTAGTTCAAGTTCAAGTTGAGCTCATGCAAATCATCGTGATGTTTCTATCACGTGACTGTGACCTGTCGTGGTCAAGACTCAAGGTTTGTACATGAGCTGCTTGTCCTGGTCCTTGTCCATGAACGTTGAACGTCGGCCGCGGGAGACCAGCTGCTTGTTGACAACGCTGCTCACCGGGACAGGTGAAATCCATAAAACTGAATCATGTCCTTCAGCATCCGCACAATAGACACTGTGTCACTGGACGACATCCTCAGTGGTCGTTAGCTCAAGTACGATGCCGTGGTGCGTCTAATCAGGCTTTTCACCTGCGTAGCCCGTTGCCTGTCGTATATGCTCAGTAGGCTGAACCGCATTCAGTCCTATGTGAAGCTTTGGCGCTTACACGTGCGCCTGCGCTCGCGTTGCGGCGATCTCATATCCGTAAGTAGCGTTCTCATGACCGCGAAGTTCACGGGTGAGCGTGCTCGAAGTCCCACCGTGACGCTGCAACACATCTACATATAGAGCTTCCATACGTGATGGAAGGGTCACAATGACTGGCGCTCCTCCTCTTATCAAGTACCATCCAGCAACTCCCGCAATGGTTTTCGTGTTTTGGCAGGTCTTTGCCTGCGTAGCAGGCTACGTGCTGTACCGTTGGGTCAGACTGTCAAGAGACCGACCGCCCCTTCCCCCAGGCCCTCCTCCTTATCCTCTGATCGGTCACCTGGGAGTGGTCCCGCAAAATGCGCCCGAGCGTGCGTACATGGCATGGAGTCGCGAATACGGTACGTGTGCATCGAGTCTCCTCGCATACCAGTGTGCAACTGATTATCAACATGCAGGATCTGACGTTATCTACGTCAACGTGCTCGGAAAGTCCATTGTGGTGCTCAACAGCGCGAGCGCGGCGACCGACCTGCTTGAGAAGCGAGGCTCAATCTACAGTGACCGCCCAGCTTTCCCTAGCTTCGAGCTGTGCGTGTCTACATGGGATTTGTGTGATCGAGGAAAGGCCACTAAGTCCTCTCAGAATGGGCTACCACGACCACCTGACGTTTCTCAGCTCGAAGGATTCTATGTTTCCCGCCTATCGTCGCCTCTTCCAGAATGACTTCTCGAAAGCCGCGAGCCGCAAGTTCGTCGCGATCCAGGAAAATGAGGCCAGGAAGCTCGTGCACCGTATCATCACTAAGCAGGGGGACTGGCAAACGCTCATGCGGCTGTAAGTGCAGTTGATTTATTGTCCTGTCGCTCATCGAGCCTCATCGGACTTAGCTTCAGCACGGCAGTTATCATGCAGATTTTAACCGGGCAAGAAATTCTAGGACCGAACGACGAATACGTCGCCATAGCAGAGGGTGTAAATCGCGCCGTGAGCGAGGGACCCCCTTTGGGAACGGCTGGGTTGGACCTCTTCCCATGGCGTGCGTTGCCGTTTTGGCTGCCATCAGGCCACCCCACTGATCGTCTCGAATTTTATTCAGTCAAATACCTTCCCGACTGGTGCGACCCGACTGGGTCAACGAAACATGCGCGCAAGTGGACTCAGGCTGTGGACGGCGTTCAGTCAATTCCTTTCCTCCACGTTGTGAAAGAGATCGTGCGTGCTGGTGCGACCACCCGTCATCGCTGCAGACTGACGTGCTGCTATGCAGATAAAGGGGACTGCAAAGCCGTCGCTTGTAGCGGACGCTGTGTATGAGGAAGAAGCCCGTACCCAGCGGGGAGAAGCCCGCATCCTGTCGGATCGACAAATCCAGGGAGTGATTGGAGCGGCTTATGGAGGTGAGGCCACGTCGCTTGGGAGCCTGACTATATGTGAGCGCTGACATGTGTGCTATCATCAGCTGCGCAAGAGACCGTGAGCGTTGGCTGAGAGGAAGAAGCAATTGATTTCTTATCTTGCGCTAGACTACCGATACCCTGATTGCGTTTGTCTTCGGGATCACAACTGCGCCGGAAGTCCAGAAGAAGGCGAAGGTTGAACTTGACGCGGTCGTGGACCCCGACCGGCTCCCCAAGGTGGCGGATCGCGAGTCACTGCCCTATATCGAGCGAATCGTGCAGGAGACCTTCCGGTACGTTGACCACGATGGCTTTACTTCTATGTCTGCTGATAGACTCTAGATTTTGGCCGACCATCCCGCTAGGTAACCCGCTCCCACCTGAGTCTCTTGGGTCCATTCTCAAGTGACTTTAATTTGCAGGGGTACCGCACAGGGCCCTGCAAGACGACGTATACAAGGGAATGTTTATCCCGAAGGTGACTTTTCGTGATATAAATCGCCCATTACGCGGTGCTGAGACGTAAATTCTGCAGGGCTCCCTTGTGCTGTTCAACGGAGCCGCCATCAGTCACGACGAGACCGTCTACTCTGACCCTTGGCGTTTCAATCCCGACCGCTACCTAGCTAAGGAACAGGGTGGCCTCGGCGAACCGTTGCCTTCGTCGCACTTTGGATATGGCAGACGGTGCGTATCGCCCCTCTCACTCTTGTCCAAGATATTCACAACTGCCCATCTCGGCCGCTCACTGTCATCTTGCCGTTCACAGTATTTGCCCTGGTCGCTTCACAGCAGAGAACTCGGTGTTCGTCGCGATTGCGACGATGCTGCACGTTCTCTCCTTCACGAAGGAGCTGGATGAGGAAGGGAGGGAGATAATCATCGACCCAGAGAGAGCGGAATACACAGGAGGACTAGGAAGGTGAGCGCTTTTCTGTATCAAGCTGAGCATTCGGTGAGCGTTGACGATTTGTAACAGCCATCCGAAGAGGGTGCCATGTGTTATTGCAGCGGCAAGCAAGCGCGCAGCAGAGCTTGTGGCTGAGTGTATGTGAAGAAGGCACCCTTCAACTTCGAATTCGCCTTCGTTCTTGTACGTTGAGTAGTCAATAACACGAGCGGCCGTCAATAAGTATCCATCAAATTTGATGCCAGACTGCCCCATAAGTTCGAAGTTGGCCTTCGTCTGTTTAGACCACCGCCCAATAAACATTCCCTGACCGTCTGCCTTGGCCCTTGGGTGACTACCAATATACTGTGGGTGGACTGCATTGGCTGCTGTATATAGCTTAGGTCGCAATGACCATATGCCCCGTGGCCCAGATGGTTAAGGCGTGTGACTGTTACAGATAGGTGTACAATCACAAGATCGAGAGTTCGAGCCTCTCCGGGGCAGTGCATAGGAACATGTAGTCGTACATTTGAGTTTTTGCCAGTCTGATCATGATACTCTGCCACGGGTTTACTGGGTGCGAGCGTCACGACGCCGCGATTAATGTGAATTTGGGTTACATACCGCATCGCAGACGAACCTCAAATTCAGGCTTGCCTTCGTGCAAGCTTTTCTAGACGCGGCACAGAACAGAGTCACTAGCCAATTCCTTGCCGTAAATCTTACTAGCGATCTTCCTCGCTTTTCCTCAAGCAGTTTTCAGTCACTGCTACCGCTTTATTATGATGCATAGGCCATTGCCATGGGGTATTCTGCATATTATGGACAGTCCCGATATCCATATCCCACCAAGCCACTGAACCACTCGCCCCAATCATCGTCGCTTCGGAGGCAACAATTTATCAAGACAGGAACGCCATCTCGAAGCCGCAAATGAGCCCAATGCTTCGCAAAGAAACAGAGAAAGTACTCACCATGCTATCCGGCGACTTCCACTCCGACTTGTTCTCGCCTTGTGGCTTGGGCGGCGTCGACGTAAGTCGCGCGGGGTCCACTCCGAGAACCGCAGCAACAGGTCCACGAGTAGGCGATCCGGACGCATCAAGCGCAGGCGAGCCCACAGCACGCCGTGTAGGTGACCCCGAAGCAACATGCGCAGGCGACCCTGGGGCCCCTGGACCAGACGGCTTCGATGCCCTGCGTACAGACGATCTTCCGCTCGCGGTCCTCTTCGGTAGTCGCGAGGGCGGGGTTGTGGCACGCGTCTTGCCCTGAGCCGGCGAGGACGGGGTCGTGCGCCTCTGGACCGACATAGAAGACCTGTCGGGAGAGTCGACAGACGTGCTTGCAGAAGACTTGGCCGACACGTACGCGGAGGAGTCTGCAGAGGTCCCCGCGAACGACGTCGCGGTAGATGCTCCAGCGGCCGACTCCGTAGATATACCGGCTGAGAAGTCTGTAGCAGATGCACCCCTCGACGACTCCGTAGATGCATCCAGAAAGGACTCCGCGGACATACCCGCAGCAGACTTCGCAGACGCACCCAGCATCGCGGAGGTAGCCGCAGAAGACCTGGAGTAGGCACTCGCGGAGGACGCTGCAGACGCGGTAGAGATGCCGGACCGCCCGTTCGCGGATGGTGCAAGGAGTCCGAGGGTCGGGGCGCGTTCCCCCTCCGCCGCTTCGCCGTTCTGCTCGCTGCTCCTGAAGGTCTGCTCGCTGCTCCCGCCATCCTGCGTCCTGCCCTGATCGTCTTCTTTGGTCGATTGCGGTTGCGCGCTTGACGACACTTCTTCTGCGGTGTTGCCCTCCCCGCCCACCGCTGACCCACCAATCGACTGCCCCTCATCGCCCGTTACCTTCCCCTCACCGCGCGCCTTCTCATCGCCACTTGGCTTCCCCTCAACACCAACTTTCCCCGCCCGCCGCTTCCACCACCGCGCCATCTTCGTCACCCGCTTCAGCTCCCGGCGCGCGCTCAGCGTGTCGTCCAGCGCCTTCTGGTAATCGCGGTCATCCACGGTGAGAGGGTCGCTCGCCTCGTTGAGGCGATACTTGCAAATTTGATCGTAGCCGAATTTACGCTCCGCGGTAGAGACCCTGCGGACTGGAAAAGAGACCACCAGGTCCTCAGTAGTGATCCCGACGCTGGGTGCGCCCACAATGGCCGCCAGCTGCCCCGGCGCCACGATCAGGTCCGTGCACCCCGGTTCCGGCGTCACCCCACGAACGCGCGCCCACACGGAGCGATGGGCGAGAGTTGTTGGAGCCTGGATAATATGCCTCTTGGAAGGGAGCACCTCGCAAGCGTCGTCGCAGGCGAAACGGGGTTCGCGAAGGACGTGAGGGCCTGCCTGACGGATATGAGAGTCTTCCCGGCCAACGGATGGGCTAGCCATAGCCGACCGCGGCTGCCACCGCTGCAGACCGAGAGCGGGCTCGCTGGCATCCGAGTCGTAGTCCAGCGTCGTGTCATAGGTCAGCGCCGTGTCGCCATGACGCATAGCAGTATCGTAGTCCATCGTGTGGTCGGCAGGAGTAGGCGGAGGAACGGCGCCTGCCGGCGTAGAGCATATAGCAGGTACGGAGGGAATCGCACCCATGACGGAGGGTGTCGCAGCGCTAGCCTCGAGATCGAAGGACGGAGCCTCAGGTGTACCGAACTCAGTCGTTTCCGAGTGTACTAAAAGCGTAGCGGGGTGCCGGCCGTCGAGTGTAGATACGTCCCCGTCATTGGGCAGAGGAGACGCGAGCCCAGATACGTTGACCTTCCAGTGCTGCTCGTCGTCGTCGAAGTTCGGCGTGCTGACCCAGTGCGAGAGCGGAGTGACGAAGACGGTCTCGTTGGTCGTCACGTCGCCGGAGAAGTCCTGCCGCACCGCGTGTACCGCTGAGGCTACAGAATTGCTGGGTAAGACCGGCGTACCCACCCACGACAAGTCGACGTCGATCTCGAGAAAGCTGTTTGCAAGGTGCGTAGGAAAGCTCGCCGAAGCAAGGGTCGCCGGGCGCAACTTGGCCAAAGGCGAGTTGAGCTCCGCTGCGCTGGATGGTTTCTTGTTGGGCTTGGGTGACAGGGACTGGCCGAGTGCGTCCAGGGGAGACTTCTGCTCCAGGGTATCGAGCATCTCGTATGGCGAGGCCTCGGGCGAGAAGGGCTTGGGAGAGACGACGGGCGAGAGCGTCTTAGCAGTGATATAGGCGTTGAGGTCGGAGAGAGAGAGAGAGCAGTCGATGAAGGTGGTCAGGCGAGGACCATTGGTGACGTTCGTGCCCATAGTGCGGTCGGACGCCGTCTTAGACTTGACACGGCGGAGAGCAGAGTTGATCGTGAGGGTATCTTTCGAGGACTTCTTGTTGAATGAGGGTATAGTAGGCATAGATATGCCAGAGATAACTGGGGACGTGACGGAGGACGAGAGTCTGGCCATCTTGACAATGAGAATAATCTTGGAGGATAGTAGGAAGACGAAGTCGAGTATTTCGAAGTTGCGGTTCCTCAACCGGGCTCAATAATATGTCGCTAGAGGTGTCGTTCCGGTACGCGTTCTTGTACTTGTTCGGCGGATAGAATGGAATAGGCAAGCAGATGAGGGCGGAAGCCAAGCAGGACCTGTCACGCACAAGCGCTTAGACTGCCCAAAGACGGCAATGCCCCTGAATACTGATCCAACAATCTGATAAGATCAGTGTACAACATGTTCTTCTCCTCCTCCTCCTCCTTGTCATCTTCGGGGTTTCCCTTTGCTAGCTTACGCGTCCCTCCTGCTCGTCGCCGTGCACACTCCCGGCCAAATGATGCGTCGCACCTCGGCGCCAGGCTGACGCGTGCGCTCCGTCACGTGATGGAATGACGTGCGCTCTCCATGTTCCACAATTGAAATAGTCCCGAAATTCCGAATATTCTGCTCACTCAGCTTCATCGTATTCCGCAACCACCACAGTCACCACCATGACCTCCCCGAGCCCTACACCATCTACATCGTCTCCGGGCCACGGCGCGGCGTCCTCAGAAGTCACCGTTGTCGACGACGTAGCGCCGTCTGTACCGCTCAAGCGAAGCTCCGGAATTTCGCAGAGCAAGCCCCCCGTGTGGCCGATTACAGAGGCGGCGGGCGATCAGGAGATCCCCATTGCCGCCAAATGCGCGAAGCCTGCGCGTCCGGACGGGACGTGCTGCAAGGAGTTGAAGGATCCTGACGAGCGCACCCTCATTGACCCCGACATTGTTCGCGACGTGTGCGTGCTGTGCCCCAAACTCACCCGACTTTGCGAACTGACACGCGTCTTCAGGGTTATCGGCCTGTCTGACGGCCTTACCGTGCCGTTCGCGCTGACCGCCGGCCTCTCCTCCCTGGGCGAGTCGCGTCTCGTCGTCCTCGGCGGTGTCGCCGAGCTCATCGCCGGCGCGATTAGCATGGGCATCGGCGGCTTCCTGGCCTCGCAGTCTGAGCGTGACCACTACCGCTACCTCCACCGACATACCGCCGCGCGTGTCGACCGCTCGTGCGAGGAGGAGATGGAGCGTGAGGTCACCGAAATTTTGGGGCCTGTCGGTGTGGATGCGCAGACATGCAATCTCGTCGCGCGGAGCCTGCGGAAGGCCGAGGATAGCGCGGGCAGCGCGGCTGGCGGGAGGGACGAAGAGGAGGGTCCGCTGCGGTGGGCAAAGGATGTCGGACTCACTGCGTTCTTGTTGAAGTACGGCGAGGGCTTGGGTGCGTTGTGTCTGATGCGCTCTTCGCCTATTGTATTGACTATGATGCAGAGGAAGTTCCCACGAAACGTCTCTACATTTCCGCCTTCACAATAGGCATGGGCTATCTCATGGGCGGCCTCATCCCGCTGCTGCCGTACTTCTTCATCCCGCGGGCGCACACGGCGCTCATCTACTCGTGCGTGCTGACCGGCGTCGTTCTGTTGATATTTGGTGCTGTGAAGGCACGCATCACGGGAGCTACGGAGGGCAAGCTGGACTACGTCTGGGGCGCAGTCACGACGTTGTTAGTGGGCGGTGTCGCTGCTGGCGCAGCGTTCGGTATTGTCAGAGCCCTGGAAACCTAAGAAAGGGAGCCGTAGCATCTCATCCTGTACATCTAGCGTTTACGTTTATGATTACTGCCTCTCATAATACAGTCGACCCTTGTACAGTACGCGCCAACATGGCGGCTGCCTTGCTCTCGGAGGCCGCGTGCGAAATTGGCGCCCGTCGTATATGTTGCGCCTCCACGTCCATGTTCTCTCCAACTTCCGCTGCTTGAGAGTCGCGAAACCCTTCTTCGTCTTCTCCCTCAGATCTTTCATTATGACCGTGCCTAAAGCCCCCTACGGCGCCTGGAAGTCGCCCATCACCGCCGACCACGTCGTGAACAGCGTACGCGTCTTGAGCTAAGCGCTCGCCGTGTCTGATATTCAGCCGCGCCCAGCCTGGCCGCAGTGCGAACGAGCTATACGTGGACCCCATCACATCGGAACGCTACCACCTGGATGTGCGTCCGGCAGAG